CTGCTTTCCCAGCTTCCATACAGAGTGAATTTGATATGTTCTAGTGCTTGGGATGTTCTTGTTCCTGTTGATGTGTATTAGCTTTTTTGGGTTTGGTCATTTTTACANCTTCCATACAGAGTGAATTTGATATGTTCTAGTGCTTGGGATGTTCTTGTTCCTGTTGATGTRTATTAGCTTTTTTGGGTTTGGTCATTTTTACAAAAATAATGAAAACCATTTAATTGACYAGTTGTCCTTGGCCTTCCATGGCARTAAAGAGCTCTTGCAGCTGAGGTTTTTGATCAACCACAGGAGGCTTTTACAACTGTAATCTTGTGCCCTACATGTTRTATGCAACAAGAGAACCACAAGCACTGAGCTTTGCCAAAACCCACAGATTTTATTTGTTAAAAAAAAACCCAGCTCTTAAATGTTTCTTAGTGATTTGGTGAATAGGGTTATCTCCCAGTTTAGTAATCCCTCTCTTTAATTCTTTACACTGGGCTGAGGTTTTATGCAAAACAATTTCTTTTTCACAAAGGTATTCACTTTTCTGTAACTTTCTCCGCTTCTGTCTTCTGTCTTTTTTTTTTCCCTGCAAGTTTGTAACTTCTTCAGCTGCTGTTTATCTTCTCCTCTGTTCTGGTCCTCACACAGAGCATTTTGGAATCTGCTGATTAGTCTTTAGGAAATATTTAGTAGTTTTATTGCMCAGATTCCTTGCCTGAAGACTTAKTCACATTTTCAAGGAGCTAGTGACTTAGCTGTAACCCCTGCAAGCCTGCACYTGGTTATAATTCTTGCTAACTTCTATGTATATTTTTATAAAATACTTAGGTTKTAATATTAATACCATTCAGCCTATGTTTGGTAACCTTTAYTTAATTCATCCTGTTCATCTATCTRTCCCTTGTAATGTTTGATGGTGTGTGGAAATTACATCAGAGAYTGAGGTAAGGGTAAAATCTCAAAATTTGAAATTGATCTAACAAACGTGGCCAAGTTTGGGCTGGCAAGGGGAGAAGAAAAAAGCTGCTGCTAACATTTTGTCTGACCTTCTGGAAGCTGAGAGGTGGCATGCTCTCATTGGTTGATTTTGTGGCCAAAGGCCATGATCTCAGTCTACCCAGAAGACCAGGAAAAGTGTGTAGAGGATGTYGGTGGGAATGAAAGGTATTAGCTTTCAAATGCAAAAGGCAAACTGTAGGAAAATATATTTCTTACTTGTCTGGGAATTACCATTTCAATATGAAATAAAACAGGAGTAAGGCTATTGAAATGCAGATTCTTCTGTAGGGACTAGTCTGCAGCAAATCTGGTATTACAGTAAGAATTACCTTTCTTAGTGGAGAACAGTGAACTTTCAGAAGGGGAAAAAAGTACTTATTCTGGAAACTAAAATATAGTTGAAAAAAGGCAAAAGGATAGGATGGTTTTACATCATGGTTGTGTCATGTTTTTTGATGAAGTCTTACTTCTGATGTGTTCTTTGAAAGTTCTTGCCGTATATGTTACTGTAGAGATGAATAGTTTGGATTGATGATGTTCATGTGCAGAGTTAACTGCATTTTTGATCCTGATGTACATATTTGTTTTAGCTGGTTGCTGCTACTTTTAATATTTGCACCTTATTTTTCTTTAATATTTTGTATAAATGCTAGGAATACTGACTTCAGTAAGGTATTTTAAGATCGTTGAACAAAAAATTTTAGTGCAATGGGTAATTAAGAATATTCAAATACTTAAAATGGTACAGTCAAAAACTCGTAAGTAAATATGGTATTGCCCAAATTGAACATCTGCATTTGAGCTATTTGGAGAGATGGTTGCACTCAAACCCTGAAGCTTACACAGTATAAGATAATTTAAATTGCTTRGGATTTTCATAGAGTCACTTAGGCTAAGTTTAACATCATCRAGTCCAACCATTATTAAGCACTAAATAATTTCGAATTAAAAATACAAAATCAAAATCCTCTAAATACAAACACTTGGGAAAAAAATTAAAATGGATACTTCCCAACAGAGATTCTTCTGAAAACTGTAGATGTTTTTTGGATAAACATTTTTGTAATTTCCTTTATACTGTTGATTTTATCCTTTTAATTACTGTTGTAGTTCTGTTCTTATACTTTCTACTGGATGACGCCCAGTGTCCTGATGTGCCCTCTCCTTCCTGCATTTTCAGCCTCTTTAGATTTGACAACATGGGACTAAAAAGAAGGAGTTTGCCTGGAGCATAGTTCTGTCATGGTTCTGGTTGAGCTGGTGTTAACACCAGTATAGCTACTCCCTGCTATTGRTCTTGCACCCCTTTTCTTTTAAATAATCAAACAGAAAATTGGGTGCTCAAGCTAAGAGAAAACCCGAAAATTTGTTTTGACTGTTTTGGGCTAGCAGGGAGGCCTTCTCTTTTTGGATTTCTTTTTCTTTCTTTGCTTGCTTGCTTGCTTGTTTTTTTGGGTTTTTTTTTTTTGTTTGTTTGTTTTTTTTGTTTTTTTTTTTTTTTTTTTTTTTTCCCACATGGCACTGTGTCCTGTTTCCTTTCTAGCCTTCAGTTGCATTCCTTCCACTTCTCTTTGTCACTAGAGGGGTAGCTGATCCTTGCACTGGGGCCCTGTGCTCTGACATTGTGAAAATTRTGGCTGCTTCTAGCCAGCTTTGCCAGCAGGGGAAGCCCAGCCGCTCTTCCCAGCCCCTAAAGACTTCTCTGCTTTCTGCTACATTTCCGTGTGTGCTGTGTTATGAAAGCTGAACCTGTGCAGAGCCAAGGGTTGGATTGATCGTTGTGGGTCCCTTCCACCTCAGGATGTTCTATGACGCTAATTATTGGAAGCAGATAAGTAGATCTAATTACTCCAAAGCGTAAATCAGCTGAGAAGCACTTTGTTACATGTATTTGAGTTTTCTGTTTTTTTCCTGCACACTCACTGTGTCCTTAGGTGCATAATAATGCTGATGTAATGGGAGTGAGTAAAGGCAGTGRGAGACTGGCAAAACTTCCCTTTTGGTGACAGGTAGCAACCCAYTTCCTTAACTGTATCCACATTCATAGTTCGTTTGGTCTTTTCTAAGCACCAACATAGCCAAGTTAAGTTTAGATAAAGTGTGGGGAGCAGAAATTTAGGCTTGTAAGAGCCAGTGATAATCATGGTAGTTCAGTCTTTCTTCTTGTCCTAGTCTCACTGAATTCCCTCTAATGGGCTATTATGGAGCTGTATAGTGAACTGGATTAAGGAATTTATCTMTCTGAAAAATTGCCTAACAGGAGTTTTATTTACCTTTAAACGAAATTAACTTCCCCTTTCATTCATCGCAGAGCTGCCGAGCCTATCTCTGTGAGCGGTGGAAAAAGAGCCTCATGGGGATGGGGAGGGGGCAGGAGGGCTGCAGTGCCAGCCTGCTTTGGTGGGAGTGAGTAGAGCTGAGGCACGTAGCTTGGTGGTGCCAGTTCCTGCAATGTCATGCAGCTGAACTGATCTAGCCTGTTTGCAAAACGTGCTTGGAAGTTTTTTGACAGCTTTGCGTTGTCTGTAGCCTATTAAGTGTTTGGTACAGTAATTTCACTGATACTTTGCAGAAGGTTAAAATGAAGGRTATTTGTAATTATTTTATTCTGTGAAAATCAGAGCATGGAAGCAAATCTAAGTCATGAATAATTTCTTTTTAGTGTTTCTGATGTATGTACAGAATAGACTTTTTTCTCCTGCTGTAGAAATGCTCAGTAAGATACTTGTGAAGAAAAATGTCTTTAGTTCAGATTCTGTATATTGCTCTTTATAATCCTCTGTTTTGTTGCCAGCTTCCACTAGTAATCATATATGCAATACTGTGTAATCTCATAATRTAATCTTTTAGCATTAGTAAACTTTAGAAGATGATGATTTAAGGATGACTAATGTTAGTTTCAGTTGTTTTTTTATGGAGAAATAATAAAAAAAGCTCTAAATATAGCATGTTTTAAAGCTGTAGGTAACTTAAAACTTGCTTCTTTTCTTAGTTTCAATACCTTGCACTTTCACCTTTTTTTTCATTTCATTTCCTTTTTTTGATAAGCAATTTACAAATGAAATTATTGTCACCCAAAATAACAATATCTGATAGTAGAGTTTTCATAGTGTGAGCATCCCAACTGATGCTATTCTGAAATGTAATACCAACATCAAAGGATGAATAARTAGTGTGTTTGAAGATGAAAACCAGGTATTTGGTATAACTGCATTGGACTCCATGATGTTTTGTGCAAACATTGTTTAAAGGGTTTTGRACTCAGAAACTGAGAAGTAAAAAACCATTCTTAATAAATTCTCATCCCTTTGTTTTGAAGAAAGTGGATTTGGAAAAGCAGTATTTTTTTTTTCTTAATGGTCTATATTGTTTATTCAAAATCACTAGCTGAACTCAAGAGACAAGTGAAAGCACACTGCAACTGTTCCTTTAAGTACAGAATTCAGGCAGTAGCATTTCTTCTTTTTAAGTTGGATTTCTCAATGAAAAAGCTCCTAGATCATCCATTGAAGAGACTTAGATTTCTTCTGAAGAACTGAAGTCTTCCATGTAGCCATACAAATTCTAGGTTGTTGTCTATTATGTGCWATGTTTCTCAGCTTTGTGTCAGTGAATAAAAGAGTGCATACAGRTAATGTGCATGGAAAAATGCTAGTATCCTGAAACAAAAGTAATGAACTGCTGTGCTGTCTGCATGCAGATCTTTTATTTAATAAGGCAGAAATTCAAATGTACTGCCAGAATTTGCTCCTTTATTTTTGGTTCATTGTACACATTGAACAAAGTAGAAATGTTCAGGATAATGCTCATACTTGTATCTGAGCAAATTTTGGACTTTCCATCCTTTTCATCTATGTGGTCCTTCCACRGTACTTTCTGTTGCTGGTTGTGACAGTTTTTGTGCAGTTGTGTATGTTATATAAACAATGCTGTGTTATTTCTGTACATAGACTTTCTCTCATGTATAGGTAATGATTTTTTTCAAAATTCTTTTTTTTTCACTCTTGCAGAAAGCTCTAAGCTGCGACATGTAGAAAAAGATGTTTTGATTCCACAAATAATGAGGGATCGAGCCAAGGAGCTGTGTTCAGATCAGGTACAAGGTAAGAGTCAAATATTCATTAGRAGATCAGATGTATTCACTTTTGTGCCCTGAATATAATCCTTGTTTTTGAAATGATGTAGTCAGAGAATTAATGTATGTRATCTGCATCTTATCAGTTCGTTGTGAAACCAGTATTGAGGCATATAAATCTTCTCTGTTGACTTTGGCTGCTTGGTGATGTGGACTGTTTTCCAAAATGACTTGTTCTTGAGGGCTGTAGAATTTAGGTTTAGCCTTATTATTACAAAACTTTGCACATCTCAGTCCGGATGGTGACAGAGCAACCCAAGAGTCACTGTGTTTCTGTAGGTAGTATTTAACACTTACATAAATTGAATTGCCTTATGCAAAGTTTCAGTTAAGGYGTCTCTCATTATAATAAATKTGTTTAAATATTCCCAACTAACTGYRTCCTTTCTCTGCTYCAGCATTGAAATGATCCATGCACATAAACACACACATGTTACTAGACCGACATTGAAATAGGGTCTTCTGTTTCTTTTTCTCTTGAAGAGTACTGGACAATAACTCTTTAAAGTGGTATCACCCCCTCTTCTGAGAACTGCTTACACAGAGGTTAGCCAAGGATGTTGCTATAAGATGGACATAAGACTGGAGCAAAAGACTTAAGCCACAGAATTATCCTCTACAAGTGTCAGGYTTTCAGTAGAGGGCATTTGCATTTGTTTATCCAGATCTGTGCTCTCTAAACTTCTCTTGTTCATGCACCCCATCAGTAAAAAATTTGACTATACAATCCCAAAATGGGTATCTTMATTTATAAATTATGTAAATTTATATGTATCACTATACTTGTATGCTACATACATTATAAAAYATAAAAATAGAATTTAAAAAGGGATGAGATGAAGGTGGAATAAACAGTWCTTTAAAACATTTTTAAGCTATTTGTCAATGGTACAAAACTGTTTTTACTCTAAAAAGATTACTTTTGATAACAGTACTTTTTACTGAAATCTGTGTGACTGAACACGGTTCATAATTTAAWAATCTTTAACACTGTGATATAGCAATTTGAAGCTCTGGTTTTAAGTTCAGTTTATTTCAATACTTGATCTTAATGGGTGTCATGCCTGAAAAAGATACCTTACAGAGATGTATACATCCCCAAGGAAGAAGTACATAGTTTCTTGCGCTTCCTAAATTTTACTTAAGTATGCTAATTTTTCAATCCTATCCACAAGTTTTGCAAAGGTTTTGCTTGAAATTGAGCTAATACATGATCCTCTCCCCTGRTATCAATTAGTTGTTCTTCCAAGCTAACGAGAGGGTGTTGCATGTTAAGTGTTTTCAAGCCCCTGAAACTCTCGTTGGGAATGTTTTTAACAGGTTAGAAAAGTATGTTTCTATCCTTTTAATGTGTGTCCATGTATAGGAGGTTTTTGTTGGTGACACTCATTTTGTTCACCAACAAAACTAAACCAAAAATTCCATAATTAGGTGGACATATCCAAATACCTATTTTCAAAATGCTTTCTCCRAAGCACAAGTTTCTTTTGCAAAGGAGTTACTTTGTTACTCATTGTTAAAACAACACTTTCGCCTTGAAGRGACACAATGAATGTTTAGCTTTTGGAAATTCCTGCTCGGTAGCAAATTACTCACTACCATTTGTCATCACTGAGAAGGTCAGTGGATTTGGAACACTCGTCTTTTCTAAAAAAATTTGGCAGGTTTGACAACTTTTAAGCGCTTTGCCACAAGGTATCTTTGCCACGAGATAGCTGGAGAACCTCTGTGTGATGCCAGGGATTTTCATGGCCCCTCCCCATCTCATTAGAAAGTCAGGCAAAGATGCCATTGGTAAAAGGCATGTTTTTGTTAAGTTATAATATCAATGTCATCCTGTATAATATCAATGTCATCCTGTATAATATCAATGTCATCCTGTAGCACTTTGTACACCCCTGACTCCAACTACTTTGCAATCACTCCTGAGTGATGCAGTGAGGGAGTTTCATGTGCAGTGCTCTCTCTGTAACCTTAATTTGGAATCCCTTTTTTRTTGCAGTGAAAGCAGCCACTCCATCAGTGGCTACATTTGCACAGTTTTTCCATAATACACTGTTTTTTATTCAAGAAGTAATTTCCTGTTGAGAATAGATATTCTCCAGTACAGCTTTCCTTTAGTGTCTCACACGAAAAAAGAGGTCTTTGTGCATTTCATTGTTGAAATGCAAATATCACAAGATGAGAGAAGTTAGAAACTTCTGTACTTTCACCCAGCTATATAGCAAACCTTSCATATTGTGTAACATTTTCTAATAYGTGTTTCTTTAACTCTTCAGCAGTGYCTTCTGTGCATCTTCCAACAGTATTTACTGACAAAGGAGTGTATTTTACTTTGTTGCCATATTGTTTTCCCTGAGTTATTTCAGTGACTTTTACCATGGCATGAAGAGCAACTGTTTCCCCAAAGGCACGTGGCTTTTTGTGTTTCGCTATTATTTCAGAAACTTCAAAGGATGTTTCTAGACTTTTTATCACTAGGTTTAGTGTCAAGTCTAGGTAAAGTGGACCAGTTTATTTTTAAGCAGCTGCTTTTAGGGATTCTCAAAAAAATACAAAAACTTAGTGTTAGAGTAATAYCTGCCAAAGAAAAGTGGCATCATCAGTTGCCTTCAAGTGCTGCCAGAAGGATTTAACAAACCTTTTATTTCATTTGAGCAATAGTTGATTTTTATTTTGAACTCTTTTTATCKGTTGGAGACAAAAAATGAAGACGAAAAGCAATTGCTTTTGTTTTTGCTGTGGGCCATTGGAAAGAAGATGTTGGTTAGAAGYATTTTCAGCTTGCTATTTGTATAATATTGTTTGAGGGTAAACCAAACGGAGAGGTGATTTTCTCCTCTGAACTTTCTCTGTGTAACATGAGGACTTTGGTTTCAGCCTCTTCATTTTCTGTGGCAGCAACCAATATTGGAGATTTTTGAGCTGTGTGTTGTGGACCGTCACCTTGTAGCTTCTCCATCTTTTTCCCTCCATAAATTTTAAAGCCAAATGTTATGGTTTTTTTCTTTCTGTGGTGTTAGGCAAAACTATAATTTCTTCTTTCTTTCTCCTGTTTATAGTTTAGTTGTGTATTTGTAGGAAAATAAGGTTTTTGGATTAATTGGTCACCTCCTCATTTCTCTGTGACCTGTAAGCCAGCTTTGATCAAATTGTGTTAAAGTGAGATATGGAAACTGGGTATTTCTGAAAAAAATTTTTTTAATTAATAGGCAAGGAAAACCTCACATTGATACCCCTATTAAAAAATAAAAGGTGATAGCATAACTTSAGTTATTTTGTTGTACACCTTTTTATCTGGACAGAGAGACCAAACCATGGGAAATGAAGCTTAAGCAGTTTTGTGATCAGTAGATTTATCATCTCATAAATCCGTTGTGAGATTATTCCTGGAATGAATTTGTCTTGTAAGTACACAGGGATGGGTGTTAATCAGAGTAAATAGGCTATGCTTTTTGTGCTGTAAACAATTATAAGCTATGAACATAAGCTGTGTAATTAAGTAATCAAAGCTGCTGCAACTCAGTTTGTGTGTTGCAGAGTGTACAACACACGTGAAATGGAGTTGTTTACACTGAGGGCAGAGATATTCGTTTAATGGGCTCTCAGTGTAGGATTTTTCTGCTATATGTGARGTTTATGTTTCAGAAATTCTTGGTACACCTTTGTTTCATTTTGTCGTTAGGAAATTGTGATAAACACATCAGCAGTGTAGGAAATGAAGCTATTCCACAAGTATGGGCCATTACGATTGGCTTGATCAGGCTGGGTTCACACGTGTTCCTGTGGGGAGCCCCTATACATTCAATAGCGCTCTGCAGGAGCACAGGGGTCCATCTGTACCAGCCTGGTACCGTAGCCTGCAGCTATACCACCTAGAGCTGTGGGCTTATCAGAGCTAATAATGCAAGTAATGACAGCCTGTCCAGCACGTGTTCCAGGGTGTCCAGGGAAAAGAAACCCCAAGGGTTACAAAAATAAATAAAAAGTAAAGGTTTTGTTAACTTAAGAAGTGATCCTGCTGTCTAGTGCACAGTTAAATGGGCAACTCAGTGCTGTGCTTGGTTGTTAGCCTACCAAAATGGCTTAAGGATGAAATAACCRTGTAAAATATGTCCATCTGATAATTTATAAAAACAATTAAGTGTTGTGTCTGGTCRTATTTTATTTTACTTCGATTATTTAAATTTGCTTACAACTTTTTTTTTATTGTTCCAGTGTAAGTTCTTGTGTGTGCTGCATGTTTGTTAAGAATTTTGTACCTCTCAGTTTCAGAAAATTTTTTTGCGTGTTTTAAGATTTTCAAACACTTTTTTCAGTGCAAATAGATATATTGGTAATTTTGTTAACTTKGGTAGTAATTCTGTTAACATGCTTTCTGGGAAACACTAGTCAATTTTCCATTATCATTATGTAAATATGCTTTATTGTGTTCATATCCATGCACTGTATGTGTGTAGGTGAAATTGTGGGCAGAAGTGTCAAAAAACAAGCAACAACAAAAAACGCAAACAACATTGTCATACAGGAACTTTTCACTGTATTTATACAAACTGTACTATGRGTTTGCTGTATCAGCATGTACTTGACATTTTAAACCTAAGTAACTAAAAGATTTAAAAGAATTAGCCATTGCCTCACTTACTGCTTTTATGAAATAATTTCTTAAGCAAGCTGTTTTCCTCTTTTTCTTCAATTTCCAGTCATAAAATTTGAATATGAATAAGCTTCTTTAAATTAAAATCACAGCAAATTTCAGGAACCTGGAGTTAGCATTTTTCATCAGAATGGTGATCTTTTGCACATCAAATCTTCTCTAGTTCCATCCAGTTGTGCTTTGTTTTCCATGACTCCATGCTCTAAACCTAGGGACACTCATGCAAAAAACTGCAAGAGCTTTGGTTGATGTTGATTTTGATCATATCTACAGAAAAGTTTGTCTAATTTCTTGAAAGCACTTACTCTGCT